GAAGATCTGGAATGGGTTTCTGGTTACACCTGGCTTGGAATGGACTTCTGCGTTGTGGCTCAAATGCCACACAAAATTTCCAGTTGGAGTAAGCTGAGCAGATCCAGGCCTAAATTGCCAACAGGGGCGTTTCTGCTCTTGAATTCATACAAGTGAGCTCAATAGACTGTGGATGTGTTTTGCAGTAGTCTGGGCTCTATTAGGACCCTCCCAGCTGGGGCTCCATAAAAACTTTTGATGTGGGGTTTAGACTCTGTGCCAGACGAAGAGCGGCAGGTATTCCCCGGTCCTCTCAGCCGGCTTCAACCTTTATTCTTTCTCGCAGGCTGAAGAAGAATTCAACATTGAGAAAGGTCGTCTTGTTCAGACACAGAGACTGAAGATCATGGAGTACTACGAAAAGAAAGAGAAACAAATCGAACAGCAGAAGAAAATGTATGTCGTGCAAGGTGTCCTCGCCTAGCGTATTGTAGGTCAGGGGTCCCCAGCCCTTTTCAGCCTGTGGGCACCTTTGGAATTCTGACACAGAGCACGGCGGCCACCGCCAGGAAATGGCTGCTGCCACAGCTTAACTCCCATCATGCAATGAAGATCCTTGTGCTGCAGGTGGCAGCCGAAGCAACGTTTTTAAAAATCTGCACAGCCAATTAGAAATTGGCTAAAACCCCACCTGGCCAATGCTCCCGCTAAGCTGTGGAGTCTTGTGAGCAAAAACTCTACTTTGTGAGCTACTGGCATTAAAGTTGTGAGTGAGCGATTTGGCTACTGCATAAATTAGTTTGCTCTGGAGCTATCCTTCCTGAGCTAAGACAAAAATGTGTGAGCCGGAGGCTAAAACACTGTGAGCTAGCTCACCCTAACGCAGCTTAGAGGGAACACTGGCTGGATGTCTTCCGTGCCAGAAATTGGTATTGGTATTATCCCACCATCTTTTGGGGTTGGGAGTCCTGGTTTCACCGAGCACTTTATATGATTTAGGACGGGTTTGTTAAATTGTATAATATGTTTTTAAAAATGTATATTTATTGGTATTTTTGTATTGTTGTTTTATGTTGCAAGTATTATCTTGCCTTGTAAGCCGCCCTGAGCCCTACAGGGGAGGGCGGGGTATAAATTTAAATAATAAATAAATAAATGACCTCTCTGCTTTTTTGCAAAAAACCCCACAAAACCCAAAGTATGCTAGTACAAGAAGGTGTATCAAAAATAGAGGTGTATTGTAAACTGCACATCAAAAACACCGCCTGAACCACAATATGAAAAATTGTGACAAGCGTACAACAAGAAACAATATTCAGTGTATCGATAACAAGTGTGTAAATATGGAGGGAAATAGTTTCTTTGTTAACCAATTTATTGAATTTTAAAACGGCCACCAGTTTAACACGAGGAGCCAAAAAGGTCTCTGACCTGTGCTGCATGAGATGCAAAATAACATCGGCTGATGATCTACCTAGAACGCTTGGCTGGCAATCCCAGTTTGTCCTTTTTGAAGTATTACATGTTGTTCATTTATACTGTTTGTTTCTCTGTATATTTACGTTCTGTTTATTGGTACGTGGAATATTGTTTACAGTTTTATGCTTGGCTCAGTTGTTCATATTGTGGGCTCAAGCTGTGTTTTCAATTTGCAGTTTAAAGTTACACCCCTATTATATACCTACTTGTACTAGGGTGCCTTGTGTACAGGATTAACCCACTCAGTCCAGTCCAGGAAAGCGAGGGAACCCTGTATCTTCAGTGCATTGAACAACAAACCACGAGAGTGTCTATACCCTGGTGTAGTGGTTAAGTGCGTGGACTCTAATCTGGGAGAACCGGGTTTGATTCCCCACTCCTCCACTTGCACCTGCTGATGTGACCTTGGGTCAGTCACAAGCTCTGGCACAGCTGTCCTTGAAAAAGAGCAGTTTCTATCAGAGCTCTCTCAGCCCCACCCACCTCACAGGGTGTCTGTTGTGGGGAGGGGAAGGGAAAGGAGTTTGTAAGCCGCTCTGAGACTCCTCTGGGTAGTGAAGGGCGGGGTATAAATCCAATCTCTTCTTCTCTTCTTCTGGTTTTCAGAACAATTTTCAGCACCACCATCCTCCAATAGTCTGTGTGCTATGCTCTGTACTGAATAAAGATCCTTCTTATTTCTAATGTGTTTCTGATGTTGTCACTTGAGCTCCAAGGCTAAAATCCTGTGTCTGACGCTGACCACTTAAGCTACCTTTGTAAGAGTAAAGCGTGCATCTCTGAGTAGAGAGCTGCTGGTGTGTGTCGCGGATGCCAACTAAGGGCTTGAATCTCATCCCTTAGGAAAAGGCAGGGGCTATCGAAAGAGATTCTGGTGGCAAATTGTTGTGAGACCAGAGATGGTACAGACTGTCTCGTGGCTGGTTGTTTAATGTGCTAAAAGTGCAGGGTTCCCTCGCATTCCTGGACTGGACTGAGTGGGTTAATCCTGTACACCTTGTTTTTGCACTCCTTGAGGGCATTCCTTTTTGTTTTCTCGGTGAAAACCTCCCCCTGCAATTGGAACACATCTCCATGGAAATCTGTATTATGGATCACACAAAACAAGGGTTGTTAAGACCAAAAGTAACTGTGTCTCTCGTACAAATACTTTAAGTAAAGATGATAGAGGGTTGAGCTAGGGTAACTTGGCTAGAAGTCTGGACTTAAAATAAGGAGGTCTGTGTTCAGACACTTGCTGAGTCATGCAGCTCACTGGGTGACTGTGTCCTGCTTGCTATCTCCGAGACTTTCTGGATTCATGGTAGAAGGATGCGTTACCAGCTCAGTTTTTCCAAGGACACAGGCTGTGTTCTCTTCTCCCCCCTGACTGAATGCAAGAGAGCAGATTATCCAGAAAATGTGGCATCTCTCAAAGAGAGAAACTGAACAAATAATGTAGGATGAGATGAGATGTAAATCAATGAGACTTTTAACTGTTCCCAATATTTAATGCAGTCCAAAGGCCTTCTGGGGAAGAATGGTTTTTGATCTGGACTGGGAAGGCCTGTAGAGGTGGTACTAATCTCACCTGCTGGGGGAGGGAATTCTGCAAATCTGGAGACGGCCGAAAAGCTCTTCTGTGGGTCCCAATCAAACGTAGTTTAGTTAATGCTGTTTCTTACAGGAGGATGCCACTCATGGTGGGTTGGTGTGGGTAAAAGCAGACTCCTAAGTATTCTGGAGTCCTCATTGGCATCTGTAGGTATTCTGGACCTCATTTGCAGGGTTTTTTTATTTTTATTTTGTTCCAGTTAGCAAAGGCCTTAAGCTCAGGTCTCTGAATCCATTGAATTCTAGCAAAACCAGTCACAGGTGAAAAAACGAAGTGGGAAACGGCTAGTCTTCTGGATGTATCATAATATGATGATCTTCTCAAGTAGCCTCAAATAAGCGTTGTTCAGAGAAGAAATTGTGCATGGTCATTTGGGCACGTCATAGTGGTGGGTTATAGGACTTCCAGCAGAGTAAGAAGCAGAAGGATCTGGAAAGGGAGTGCCTTTGGCTCATGAGAGAGGTCTGTACACCTGAACACAGGAAGCGGCCTTATCCTGAATGGCCCATTGAGGTCAGTATTGCCTACTCAGACTGACAGCAACTCTCCAGGGTCACAGGCAGAGGTCTTTCTCACTACCTACTCTCTGATTCTTTTAGCTGGAGATTGAACCTAGTACTTTCTGCATGCCAAGCAGATGCTCTACCACTGAGCCAAAGCCGCTCCAACCCAGGTGGTATTTAACTCTAGAAAACCTCAGTCTTGGGCATATGGATGGGGAGCATTACAATTAGCGTGTGCCTCGCTGTCTAAAGCCTGTTGTGCTCAGATTTTGTTTCTGCCTATGTGCCTTGCAGTCAGATGTCCAACCTGATGAATCAAGCACGGCTGAAGGTCCTCAGAGCGAGAGACGATTTGATTGCTGTGAGTATGTTTCTCATTGTAAGAAAACATTGTAAGAAAAGCTGTCTGAAAGAAGCCTTGTATATGTCTGTAGCTTCGTTGGCCGCTTGTGTGTCATTTGTGGATGCAGACATTCAGTGAGTGCAAACCCCTGCAGCTGTCTCCTGTACTGTTTATTGCTTTCCTTTTGCAGGACTGGAGAAATGTGACCCAGAGAAGGCTGGTCCCTTATGACTTTTTTTCCACTGAGGCCTGTGGTCGCCTTCCTATAGCCAGCAACTGACACTCCCACAATATAAATCTCCGTGTTTTGTGCAGATAGAGGAAGTCATGGTCTAGGGAAATTCTGAGAAGTATATAGCACAAGGTTTTGGTTGGAATGAGGACACCGGGGCTCAGATTCCAGTGGCGGATGGCAGAGAATTCCTCTCAATCCATGCGTTGGTTGCCTTGATCTTACCTCTGATAGTTTTTTTAAAAACATTTCATAGAATCATAGAGTTGGAAGGGACATCCAGGGTCATCTAGTCCAGCCCCCTGCACAGTGCAGGAGATTCACAAATACCTCCCTCTCCACACCTGCAGTGACCCCCTGTTCCATGCCCAGAAGACGGCAATAATCCCTCCAGGGTCCTTGGCCAAACTGCTTGCCATGTTTTGCTGTTCCCCAATCGTTGTCTCTTTGGCCTCACTGCTGCTGGGAAAGAAAGCATCTCCCAGCCGAGCATCCAGAAGGGCTCGCCTCGGGCAACAGGCTGAGGGATACCTCATTCCCTGCCAGGCAGTCATCGAGAGCAACAGAGCAGCCAGTGGATCCAGCAGTAGCGTCTCTCAGCCTCGGCCTTGCATATTAAGAAGAGCTCAAGGTGTATCCACAGAGTAGCGAGCCTCTTGATCGGATTTACATCTCTGTGCAGCCTCTGGATAATGCCAGCAAGCACTCTGGCTGCACGCCTTACTACTTGTGTATGCTGGAGAGAGAGACGGAAGGAAGCAAAGCAAATTAATCGTTGCACAATGCAGGCCCTGCTGTCTGCCTGCCCGGGCTTTTTGAGATAAGTCACATGCCTCTGATGCGCGAAATGCTCAGCTTCCTCTTGCTGAAGTGATGTCCTGCAGCTGGATAAAATTGCGTGTGGGGATTGGCTGAACAGTATTCCGTAATGTCTCCTTTTAAATTTCTGCCATAGAAATGGGTATTTATTCCCTGCAGGGAACGCGGCATTGTACCAAGGCCAAAATCTGTCTGCTGCCCCTAATATTTGGTCTCCCTACATCCACCCATAGGCAGTTCTTGCTGGGGGTTGGGATACACTCTGTTTCTGTGCACTGACTGGAGAGAGATGTGTTCTTGTATGTGGGCTCGCTCAGTCCAGAGGCCCTTGTGAAATAGAATTCTGCCCATCACAATGGAAGGGGCTCCACTTATGAAGATATAAAATGAGATCTTTAATTATACTTCCATAGCTACTTTTCTGAAGCCAGTGTGTTACAGAGGTGAAGAGTGGGAGACCTGGGTTCGAATCCCCACTCGTGCCCTGGAAGCTGGCTGGGTGACCTTGGGCCAGTCACACTCTCTCAGCCTAACCTACCTCACAGGGTTGTTGTGAGGATAAAATGGAGGAAAGGAGAATGATGTAAGCCCCTCTGGGTCCCCATTGGGGAGAAAGGTGGGGTATAAATAAATTTAATAAAATAATAAGGTAAAGCCTCTGAAGATCCTGCTGCTTGCATTCATAAATTTGGGAGGGTGACAGGTCACAGGCTGCAACTGAAGCTCCCAAAAGAAGTTTAGCTCTCGGCTGCAAAGTACGGGCAACGTTTCGTTTTGAAAAGAAGATGCAAATATAGACACCTGTGGAGTAGGACGTGGGGTGGGGGATTTGAAGTAAGATCAAGCCACAAGGGCTTTACTGACCTGGTGATCTTTTTCTTACTCCAGGATCTGCTGAATGAAGCTAAGCAGAGGCTGTCTAAAGTTGTGAAGGATACTGCCAGGTACCAAATGCTGTTGGATGGGCTGGTTCTACAGGTAAAAACACTCCAGGCATCCTACCGCTGTTGACTATCAAAATAGCTTGCCTCCTTGGTTGTGCCCTTGGCTGTGGGTGTAGCTGTAGCTTTCTTGATTCCATGCCATCAGTTTCCTTGTTTAAATGTTTCCCAAACATTTGTGCCAGTTGAACCTCATACCATGTTCTCAAAAAGCAGGTAGCTGTAAGTGGCCGTCGTGTGTGATCCCCAAACCACATCATATATCGGTTCCTTTGGCAGTGTTTGCTTTTATTGGTTTATTTAAAATTTAGACCTATAAACTGTCCTCCTCTGAGTTCACAGAGCTCAGGGCGGTTAACAACGGAGACTATACCATTTAAAACCCAAGAGTTAAAATAGGTGAAGCGACATCAGATGGTTCCAAAGCAAGTACAAATTGCATTGCTGTCTCGCGAGTAAGCGAGAAAAAGCAGGGCGGGGGAGGAGAAAGGAGTGCCAGATACGATGGTACCCATTGCTGTCTTCAGCCAAAAGCCTGGCGGAACATCTCTTTTTACATCATTTTTACCTTTTGGAGAGGTAGTGTGGCTCAGTGGTAGAGCATCTGCTTTGCATATAGAAGGTCCCGGGTTCAATCCACAGCAATCTCCATGGAAAAGGACCATGTGAAAGACCTCTGCCTGAGACCCTGGAGAGCCATTGCTGGTCAGAGTAGACAGCAGTGACCTTGGTAGACCAAAGGCCTGCCTTAATCTAAGGTAGCTTCATGTGTTGTGTCACTTGGGTAAGATCTGAGATGTGTGTTCCTGTAAAGATCAGCAAGAAGCCTTCCTTAAGTTCAGGAGGCTGAATCTATATTTGGTTAAAGCAGAGACTTTATAGTTGTGGCCCCCAGCTCTGTGAACCGAAGAGCCCAGCCTTGGCCCAAGTCTTTCTCCTTTGGCAGGGTAAAAATCACTCTCTTTAGGGTACTAAATTTTGTTTCTAATTGAAGTTTTATAGTGGTAGGTTTTAATTCCTCTGCTGCTCTCTAGCTAGTGTTTATCATACTCTATATGCTCTCTCAGTCCAATCCATCTCACAAGGTTGTTGTGAGGATAAAATGGAAGAGAGGAGAATAGCGTAAGCTGCTTTGGGTCCCCACCAGAGTTCCCTCTAAGCTGAGTTAGTGTGAGCTAGCTCACAGTTTTTTAGCCTCTGGCTCACACATTTTTGCCTTGGCTCAGGAAGGATGGCTCCAGAGCAAACTGATTTATGCAGCAGCAAATCGCTCGCTCACAACTTGAATGCCAGTAGCTCACAAAGTAGAATATGTAGACTCCACAGCTTAGAGGGAACATTGGTCCCCACTGGGGAGAAAGGCAGGATAGAAATGGATTAAATAAATAAACATTCATTGGGTTAAACTTGAATCGAAACAAGTCACACTACTTAAATTTGTAAACTATTTTGTCAAAAAGCTCAATGTGAGGTTAATGTTTCTTCCTCTTTCTTCGATGAAGGGATTCTATCAGTTACTTGAGCCTAGAATGATTGTGCGTTGCCGGAAGCAGGACCTTCCCTTAGTTAAGGTAAGATTTCTTTGGCCCAGGTTGGCTCACATGAGCATGAAGGGGGTTTACCTGGCAGGCTGAGATCCTAAGACTGTAATCCTAACCAAAGTCGCACCCTCCTGAGCTTTAAATGGAATTTAGGAGGGCGTAGCTCTTGCTTACGATTGTACTGTTAGGGTCTTGGATGATTCTCTGCGAAGTACAACTTGAGACGACTGACCGAAAGTGTACAAACTGTGTTAAGGCTATCCTGCAAAGAGGTAATGGGCTGCTTGACTCAAGATGATCGAATCATCTTTCAGCTGCCAGGAAGCTTAAGCATCTCGAAACCAGTGGAGTACAGCATTATGGCCAGACTTCAAAAGGGGTAACCCCGCCGTGTTCAGAACAGTAATGGCCTATCTGCTGCTTCTCTATAAAACCCCTAATATTCCTTCATAGTTATGTTGGTGGCTTAGAGAGGCTGGGACTCAGCATATGGATAAGTGCTTTCTCGCAGATGCTGGATAATATCCCAGGAAGACAGTAACTCGGGTGCACGAATAACCACTGGATCTGGTTTCCTGAGAACTGCTCTCAGACCAAAAAGTGGCGACTCCCAAGTCCCAGACTGGCATTTCATCACCCAGGAGAAGTGCGGCTGTTTAAAATATTGTACATCCTCAGTTAAAATCAGAAGCCCGAGCTTGCTAACTGCCAACATAATCTCCGTGTGACTGAATTGGCGAAGTGAGAGGAAGACCAGTGATCAGGTCTTCACCCATGAAGAAGTTTATGGAGCCATTTCTGTATGAAGAAAAAACAGCCCTTCATGACAGTTACTCTTGTTTCTAAAGGTATCTGAGTTGCTTGCAGTTATTTGGGATATTGGCGCCTCCAGGTGGGTCCTTCGTTGGTCTGCAGTAGGAGAGCAAGATAAATGAGTCCAGTAGCACCTTAAAGAGCAAAAAGATTTACAGCTTTTGAGGGTCAAAACTCCCTTTGTCAAAAGTAGGAAGGGCGCTTTGAATGAGCTCAGGGTGGTTTCTTTATTGTTGTGTACTTCCATTGGTCTTAGAGTCAAACCGCATGTTACAAATAGGTTCTTCAAATGAATGCCAGCAAGTCTGGCTGAAATTAATCCCTGGGAGGAGGACTAGTGCTCACCTGTGAACAGTTCTCTGTCGTAAAATACAAGCACTTGTGGATTTGGGCAAAAGAGGATTTGTGTCCAGCCTCTTGCAAGACAGAGGAGGAAATAACAGCTCCTTTGAACTCCGCAAAATCAAAACACTTGTTTTTTTTGCTTTGAAGAAAAAAAGCCCTCTGATCTTGGGGCAGCTCTTTCACTCATGATTTTGAGAATAAGGGATTTGGGGGGGGGGGGATTTTAAGGTGGCTAGGTTGGAAAAACATTTTTGCAGGGTGTTTTGTGGGCTTCCCTGCAAGGCTGTGTTAAATTCAGTAGCAGAACTAAATCCCTTTTGTGTTGGATTGAGAATAAAGGGGATTTTTTGGGGGGGGGGGATTTTAAGGTGGCTAGGTTGGAAAAACATTCTTGCAGGGTGTTTTGTGGGCTTCCCTGCAAGGCTGTGTTAAGTTCAGTAGCAGAACTAAATCCCTTTTGTGTTGGATTCACAGGTGATGCTGCCTTATTCTTGGTGGCACCCCACTGTTATGCAAGGCTTTCCCCAGTCTCTGGCTCCTGTGATGCTGGGAACTGGCCTGGGACCATTTAAAACATGCTGTAGTGTTGCATTATGGGTAACCACCTGAAAGCACGCCCTTGCTTTTTCCAAAGCTAATGTGTTGGGTCGTACTATTTTGGATCTTGGAGTCCTGGTGCATTGCTTACGAGAGGTCTCATCATATCGATCGTATCCGCTTTGAGCCTGGGTGAGAAAGGGAGACTAAAAGTACAGGGGGGGGGATGAAACACAGAATCTCTTCTTCTCTTAAAAGGCGTTAATCTTGTCATCCCGTTACAGAATGCAATCCAGAAGAGCATCCCAGTCTACAAAGCTGCTACCAAAAAAGAAATTGACGTTCACATTGACCAGAATACATTTCTGTCGGAAGACATGTAAGAAAGATATATCATCATCAGCCCAATTGCGGGGAGTAGACAGTGTAGGAATGTTTTAAAAGTGGCTTAGAAGCGAGCTCGTAGCTAGAAGCTCAGCACTGGTCATTGTCGGAATCGGCATTAATGCCAACACTTAGCGTTGCGTGGTGCGGATTGGCCGTGCATAACACCGTGGGAACCCTGACCTGGATAGCCCAGGCTAGCCCGATCTCAGAAGCTTGGCAGGGTCGGCCCTGGTTAGTATTTGGATGGGAAGTCCAGGGGTGCTATGCAGAGGCAGGCAATGCCCAACCACCTCTGTCCGTTTATTTCCTTGGAAACCCCACAGGGTCCCCCCATTAGTCGCCTGTGGCCAGTGTTCCTTCTAAGCTGAGTTTAGTATAAGCTAGCTCAGTTTTTTAGCCTCCGGCTCACACATTTTTGCCTTCGCTCAGGAAGGATGGCTCCAGAGGAAACTAATTTATGCAGTAGCCAAACCACTCACTCACAACTTTAATGCCAGTAGCTTACAAAGTAGAATTTTTGCTCACAAGACTCCACAGCTTAGAGGGAGCTTTGCCTGCAGCTTGATGGCAAAAAACAAAAACAAACCAAGGTAACGTGCCTTTGGCAGATCCTCGCCTGTGCTGTTCATATCTGTCAAGGAAACATCAGCACTGGCATGAAGTCATCCGGCCGTAGTTTGCCAAGCTGTTAGCCCAGAAAGTGGTGGCATTTGATATAGGCAGTAATGGGTAAAGAAGTACCGTGAACTGCTGACCTCTTGAAGGTGAGGCTGTAGTTCGGACTCAAGGGACTGACAAAGCAGAAGATGCATGAAGGACGTGATAGGTTGGGTCCCCTGAAATGTGTCCAAAGATTCTTCAGTGAAACAGTCATTCCCGTGTCCTTCATAGCACCATCTGTGTAGTCAGGTTGAAACGTCTCCAAATGATGAGCCAGTTCTTTTATAAACTTCCAGGTCTGGCTTTTTTTTTAAAGCCCCCGGAGGGGATTTTTTAAACACTACAAAAACTAGAACACAAAAAAGGGAAAGGGAAAGCTACATATAAGGGAGAAAGTAAAGAACCCACTACTAACTAAAAACCCGAGAGAGGAGATCTCCAACTAGCTTTTTATACTTCATTCAGACTTTTCATCTTTGTACTTCTTATGAACTGTGTCAATCTTTTAACCCTTTTAACAATCCCCAGTTACATTTAATTGCCCAATAACAGTGCCCCCCATCATCCCCTAGAACCAAAGTTCTCAAAGGCACAATTCAGAATCCTTCAGCCTTTACTTCTTCTTCTCTCTCTTCCGCAGTTTGTAGGAACTTTTCGGGGCTGATGCCCCCTGCTCAGACAAAGAGTCCTCACCAGACGAACCAGTTTCCAGCTCTCCACTGGACTTATCGTTCTCTTCTTTTTTCTCGTCCTCTGGCCTTCCCAGCTGCTCCTTTAGAAACTCTTGAGCTTTAAGAACAGAGTCTTCTCCTTGATCTTGAATATTACTCCTTCTGGAAACAGCCATTTATATCCAATTGAGTTTGTTTGGAGGAAAACCACAAGTTCTTTGTATTTCTTTTTGCATTGTCTTACTTCAAATGGAATATCCTTTAGCGTTCTGACAGCATTCTCCCCTACCTTTAGGGGTGTCGCAGCAACTGCTTTCAGGATAGCATCCCTGACATGCCTCTTCGAGAATCTTACTACAATTTCCCCAGGCAGATTATTTTACTTTATGTATCCTGAATATGATCTGTAGGCCACATCCATGTCGTTGAGTAGCAAGTCCGCCTTTATATCTGCTACTGGGGCAAGTAGCTCACTCATAAGTTCTTTAAGATTCTCTCCTCTTTTCTCTGGCACCCCTTGGAAGCGCAGGACCATATTAGCCTTATCCATTTGCACTTGCAGCATCTGATCTTCCAAAGATAAAGTTTTCTTTTCCAATTTTTGCACTTTTTTCCTCACTATCTGCGTTGTCTCAGCCATTTCCTTTACTTTCTCAGCATCCTGCTTCATTACTTGAATCAAATCCATTATTTGCGTTTGTTGAGCAGTAATGCTAGTTTTCACAACTTGCAGCTGCTTTTGTTCTGCAGTAATATTCGCTGTTACAACAGACATCTGTTCTTTAAAGACATTGAGCTGTTCCAGCAAAGGGCGCATGACCTCTGTCATCGCCTTCGTC